ATACATCATGTAAGGATAAGCAAAATAGATCTAGATGTTCTACTCTCCCCCCCATCAACAAAAATCTAATACTGTATCAAAAATATATATCTACTCCCCCTTTTTGTCACAAAATGACAAGGGGTAAGCATAGAATTAAGAAGCACCGGCAGCATCATCACCATCATCGTCAGAGTCAGTCCTCTCCTTAGAAGTGGTATCATCCCAGTGACGACGAATCCGCCAAAGCCCACACTAAAAGTATCCGACAGCACTTGAAGCGTAGAGAAGTCGAAAGTCTGTCGATCAACAGTAGCACATAGCTACGTAATCTCCGCCATTATACGAGGCTACTGCTCGATGAGCACTGTCATCGACCCAAAAGAGAGACCGAAGGGTCGATAGGAGTAGAAGCAGAAGGTGCAGATGCGGGAGGAGGAGGAGGAGGAAAAACTGACTTGGATGGAGAAGTAGCAGAAGCAGAAGTAGAAGGTATATCGGAGGGTGGAAGAGCAGTCGAAAAAGAAGGAAAATCGGAGGGATCAAAGGAAATGAGGTCATCAATCGGAAAAGCCGACACAGTCGGGTCAGCTGGCTGTGCGGCTCAGAAGAAGCACGAGACCTACTCTGGACAATGGTAGTATGGTCAATCGACCGAGAAACTCGCCTCGGACCCCCCTGGGAAAAACTGATTCCTAAGGCTGTCACTAAGCGATATATAAAACACACATAAAGCAGCCCTACCCTCGTCCTCGTAGTACAAAAGGGCATCAAGATCTGCTAGCATATGAATGAAGGAAGATCAATGGAATCCCCATGCAGAAGGGCATAAAGGAAACGAGTCTTCTCCATTGGTAATGAAGAAGTGTGGGAGACAAACCAAATATTCGTACACACAATGCTCAATAGAATCTGGGGCTCGATCGGGAGAGAATCAGTGCACCACACCCTTCCAACCATAATCAATCGTGCAAAGATCAAAATCAATTTTACATCAAAATGTGCTCCAAAATCATCCAAACCAACGACCACAACCTCAACTTCCCAAATCACCAAACAAATTCACCTAATCCAATGCCATTATCATCAACACACCAATGCACAATCAATTCCATAGAAACCTAAACAACTTCAATGAACATAAATGCTAAAATCAAGCCAAAATGGTCCATAAATCGAAGTTATGTTGAAAAAGTTAGGCAAAACTTCATGAAATGATATGTGAATGCTTAAAATAAGTAACGCAACATCAAAACCCAAGCAATAATGATCAAAAATCCGAAAAACTATCAAGAAAATCACAAAAAATGGAAAAACCAATTCGAAATTCACCTTTAAAATTCAATGATTTGATGAAATGTCAACTCAACCAAGTGATGTGTGATGAACAAAATGATGGGAAAGTAAGAATTTTGGGTGGGTGTATCGAATTTGGTAGAAATCAAGTGTAAGAAATGGAAAAATTCATGAAAACCCTTTAAAAATGACCTTTTGATTCAAAAACACGGTCTGTTGCTCGAGTGGTGGTCAAGCGACAAACGAGTAAGACAGCTTCTGCTGCTGTAACTCGAGTGAGTTCTAGCGATAAGTTAGGGAAAAAGTAATTGACAGAAATAGCACTTCAAATTAAAAATTACGAAAAATAGCACGATTTTT